CCATATTTTTAACAAAAATGTGGATCAGTATGAATATCTTGAAATGTTGAATTAACTTTTTTTTTATCATCTTAGTAGTAAACCATTGGCAAATAGAAGAAAACTTCCCATTTAATCATAAGAAAATAGTTAGAGAAGTTTCCAACTCAATGAGTTGGAAAGTTCAGTTCCCTGACCTGCCAGAATTCCTGGATCTAACAGTCAAGGAGTTTTATTTGTAGAGATATTGGAAACAAAAAACTTATGAGTTGTATCACAATTCATATATCAGGAATATTTGTAGTTACCTCCAAAGATAAGACTAGAGTTGTGTAAAGGGGTTGGTGGAAAATTTCAAAGTGTTATAGTTTCCGTTTCTTAGTCGAGGTGGGTGGACGTGTAGTTGGTTGCGACTGTTCTAATCTCCGATGGAGCGGAAGGTTCCGCCATCATAGTAAGTGCAATCAAATGAAGCATATTTGTTTTGTTATAGTTTTATCTGCTGTGTATGATGACGCGACAGGTAACACACCATCCATGTTGTGATTTTTCAAGTCACCTGGCTATTTGTCCTTCGGAGGTTTTGAAGTTGAGGAGTCACCGAAGTGCTGAGTGGTCAGGCTTGAACAAAAATTTATGGTCATATAAAAAAAAATGGTTGTGATCCACAGTTTCAACCATTGCAAGGAGCTCTATTCTCGTGACGCGGTAATTTCTTTCGGCTGTTCCCAAGGACTTACTGAAATAGCTAATGACGACAGTCATTGCTGGCGGTCTGGTGACCAAAATAAGGGAGTTCTCCATACAGCGGTCTGGCAATTTTTACAAAATTGTTTACGAAACGCCGCTAATAGCTACAGAGTCCAAGGAAATCCTCTTACGGCATGCCTGCTCTTCGGTGATGGCCATTCTTGACCATCAACAACTAAGCTGTTGATACTGTTGCGTCTTATCGTGGAAACTCAATACCTGGAGATTTGGGATGCAGCGGCCAATGTACTCCCCTAACACTGGCCGAGTTCATTATTTCCGAACCCAGACGCTTTCGTTCAGGTGATCCAAATGCCAATCTCTTCTCTCCTCAGATCCTTAACGTGATTTTCAGTCCCGCCTCAAATGCCCCTCTCTGCCGACGTTATAGAACTTAGGCCGCCCTCTTGCCCAGGTTACAGTTTCATTCGTCAAGATATTTCTTAAGTAAATCCTCTCAAAAATTAATCATCCACAGTGCTCTATACAAATTGCTGATGACACATCTTTTACTGTCAGTGGTTCGGAATGTGAAACATTGTCAGTAAGAGCAAATGATGCTGTATTCAACATGCAAAATTATTGTTCTAAGAATGGCTTGATTCTAAATAATCTTAAAACCAACACCATTTTCTTTACAATTCAGGAAACTGATTGTAGTGTATTGGTTAGGTCTGAGATTAAAAATATTGAACAGGTAAACTATAAAAAATTTTTAGGAGTTTTTATTGATTCCCAACTCAATTGGAATCATCATGTTGATTTCATACTGAAGAAATTAGCGACACATTGTTTCGTTATATGGAATCTGCGTAATTTTGTGTCTATTGAAATTCTTAAAAGTTACTATTATGCATATATTTACTCTGCCCTCAATTACTGTATTATTTGTTTTGGCAACTGCAATANNATAAAACTACTGCTAGAAGGGAAAGTCGTTGTTTCCGATTTGCATTTGTCCACAGCGATTCCTTTCGGCTTCCGTGATTCTTTCCCAAAGTTCCCAGAAAATCTGTTAAAATTTTGTCCGGACTGCAAGTTACTTTTCAAATAACCTCCTTAAGCTTTTCATCGACCACTTTTTCAAATTACCCCTTTGTTTCCCGAAATACTTTTTCAAACTCTTCCTTAATAAATTCCTCGTTATTCACTTGAGAAGAATTTAATTTTTCAAATAAATAAAGGTACATTTGATTTAATCTTTTTTGTTTCCCCTGGATATTTACCAGCAAGTCTTGTCTTTTTCCTGTAAATTTAGTAGTAATTCATGATCTTCATTTAGGCGGAATCGTTTTTCCCCTCTTCTTCCTTCAATTTTCGCAAGGCCAGCTTGCCAAGTCTCGAACATTTTCTTAATTTTTTCAATCCCGTCGTAATCGATATTCTTTTCTCTATATAGTTCTATGTAGGAAACTCGGACTTCCAAAAATATACTTAATCATGAACTTGTAATTGAAAGTTATAACATTGTGAGATGTCATTCGTCTAGCAGGTTCAAGAGGGGTAAGTTATCATATTATCGTAGCTTCGATAAAATCAATTGCCCACTATAACCATTAAAAAATGTTTAAAAATCTTCCCAATGAAGCTTGATATAATCAACCACCAATCAACTCAAAACTGGAAGAGTGTAATTGACGTTATTCATTCGGACAATATAAAAAACATCAAAGAAAAGGTTTACTTTATTTCACTTTCAATGGTACAATTTTCAGTTACTAATATAACTAGAGACAAAGATAAAGCCAATAACAATAACCAACTGAAAGTAACTGTCAGTTTCAACGCTCACGAAAAATTTCATTTTAATGTATTGATTTGAGTGATTGTGAAATATAATTTATTATTAAATTTTTTGATGTTCCTGTTGATAACAAATAAAAAAAAACATTTATATGCTACTTGCTATCAGCTAATTTTGAAAAACAATTTTGTCAGTCTTTATAAACTTTATTTTTCAAGCATGTTTCAGTGCATTATTTTTCATTGAAATGGTATTGAATTTGATCAATGAATTGATTTAAGAACATTATATGCTATGAAAGTTGTGTAAATTTTAATCTATCAAGAGACTAGATCTAACATTTAGTGAACCTTGAGACAGACCAAACATACGCAGCCTTAATGCACAGATAGATGCAGATATAATATTAAAATATAATAAACTTACTGATGATTTGATAGTGTGTCGAACTGTGATTTTGCTTTCTCTGCAGAAGACCGCTCACTTTCACTATCTAAATCATCACTGTCAGACATATTTCATTTTCAATTATTTTTAAAATTATTCATTTGGTAAAATATAGGTTATGTATACTGTAGTAAACTGTATACTTACAGGTGAACAAGCTCAGTGTGTCGAGAGAGATAGCGTAACAAACCAGTGGGAAAAGAATCACACCGCCGCTTGCACATGGCGACCTGTCGCACCAGCATCAATCGGTTTTACGTGCGGGTAAAGATGTTTCACATCAGTAATTACTTTACAAAAAAAACACTAATTATCTGCAAGGCAGTTCCAATGAAAATTTCAATGCTAAACACAACTGAATCATTCAAGATGTTTGATGGAAAGAAATTGGAAGTTGAATCTAACTTGACAACTATGATGCTGGGCCTGACCCTAGATTACATACTCACTTGGAGTCCTCACATCGAACACCCTATGTAATAAACTTACAAGAAATTGTTATTCGTTGAGATTCATGTCTAACCACTGTGGTAAGGAAGTATTGTTGAATCTGTATCATACAGCTATTGGCCGTCATCTGAGATATAATATATTGAACTTGAGCATGAGTTCTGCTGCATGGAGGGTTTTTATACTGCAAAAATATGCCATTACAATAATTCATCAATTGAATTAGCGTCAGACGGGTGAAAATTCTTTTAGGGAATATACTAACTACATGTACCAACTATGTATCTTGGTGTATGCGAATACCTCCAACCAACAAAATTCATAGCCAGCTGTCAGTAAAGGAATGCTAACAACTTGCTCTCATCGAACTGCTCTTCACCATCTTCATCTAAGGCCTAAACTTATCGACAGGTTGGACACAAATATAAAGAGTTGTCCCAATATCTCAATGTTCAAGTCAAATTCAAAACCTCGTCTATTGAGAAACTGCTACACCGATGATGAATTTTCAACTAATTTTAACTAGTATTTGAATCTGTGATATAATTGTAACTATTGGTTTATATACTTGTATTTTTTACTATTTATTTACTATTCATTGCTTTTCAACAAGTGAAAGAATCATTATTTTGTTCAATAAAACTTATTTTTATTAAATATTGAAATGTGAGATTGGTGGATAATACAAGTTAGTTTTTTTAGGATAATACACCAGATTAGACAGAAAGCAGCTAAAATTGTTGAAAAGCGTTTTCATCGTTGTTCTGTGTAAACTAAAAATAGTTTTAAAAAAATGATTTGACCATAGGGCCTTTTATAATTATTATGACATGATTAACATCGACCAACATTCCTTTTTAATTTGATAACAAAACATTTAAACATATAAATTGGGAGGTGTATTTCACGAGTTGTAACTTCAGTTTATTTTAAATAAGTTTATTTTGATTAATGACAAAACTATTGCATTAGTACATATGTTTCTTCATAATTATTTTCCAAGAGATATTTTATAGTCATGAAAAAATTAGTCCTAACCAGATGGTTAAAGTTGTGTGCATTTCCTGACAAATATTTTACAATGAATAATTATATCCATTTGAAGGTATCCGTTACAAATTTAATAATTAAATTATATTTTTGTATGATGTGATTTGAATACGATATAGTGCATAAGTTAAACGTCGCAACATATATGTTATTTCTTAACTGTATTGGGGTAACCCGTTTATAAATAAATAAATTGTTCAAGACATATACTACCATACGGCCAATACTCAAAGGCTGCAGGCCCTTGTGTCTCTTAGATTTATTTTGCATGCAGTTTGAACTGAACCAAATACATCTTGGTCAGTCAGCAATTAAACTGAAATGCACTTACCTAAACATATACAATAAATATTTGTTTGAAGGTGATTGACAATGTTTTATGATGAATTTCATTAGTTCGGACTTCCATTGTCCAATATTATATAAAATGATTTGAAATCCCTAAAAGAACAAATTTAAAATTGAAAAGAAAAGCTGAAAATAGCTATTATAATTCTGCTTGATATAATTGTTATTTTCAGTTATTCTTTTTCAAATCATTTTATATAATAATTTAACAATAAGTGTCAAAAAAACTTACCATCGACAGGTTCTTCCTTTACTCTAACCATCTCAGTACCATCATCGGTTTTGATGTACTCAAGTTTCTCACCCCGCTCGCCCCTTTCTCTATCTCTACGCTCCCTTCTTTCACGTTTTCTTGCCTCACGATCTTTATCTCTAGACTTCGAACGGCGCCGCTTTCTGTCTTTGTCGCGATCCCTGAAAACAATAATTTTAGTTAATTTAGGAAAATAAAATTATAGAATGTCCAAAACTGCAGGTCCATACTGGTAAGTATAGTTTTGATACAAGAATGCTGAAAAAGAAGTAAATGTATGAGCCTTACACTTTATTTAGGAGTTTCAGAAGCAGTAAATGCACCAAGAACTCCAGCATTTGATTCGTTATATGTAACCTAACTGAAACAGGAACATGTAGAACTAGAACTTCCAATTAAAAATAACAGAGGGGGCCAAAATGAAAAATTACATAATGAATAATGACATGGATACTCAGTACTTTCCCTATTCAAATTCTAAAAATGATTGTCACAAAAAAGAAATGGGGGAAGGTATGACAGTTGAGGTTATGATAGAAAGATGTACCCCTTGAATCAAAACTAGACCTGAACTTGTATCTTGAAGATATATCTGTTTTGTTTTCAGTGCTGCACACAGCATACACATATAATTATTTCTAAGGAAATGGATGAATTTATAGAATCCTAATTTGTAAAGTTTCTATATTCAATAGGTAACAATCTAGTTTTGTAAAATCTGATTCATTTTGCAATTTTTGTGATGGCTCAGTTGCTTAACCCCAAACAGTTACTGAATATTGCAACTCATACCAGATAAGCAGCATGGTTTTCGGAAGGGAAAATCCACAACAACTGCAACAGTTGACTTTTATAATAATGTATTGTCCGAGATCGACAAAAGAAAGTCCCCTGTTGGAATTTTTTGCAACTCAAGTAGGGCTTTTGACTGTATTCCTCATAAGGCACTGCTACAAAAACTTTGGCTTTATGGCATACGAGGAATTGCAGCCAAATGGTTTGTCCAAATTTATTTTAAAGTTCTATTAGTAAGCACTGCTCAGATGCCTCGCAACTGGAGCCGGGAGTGCCACAGGGTAGTGTTTTGTCCCCAATACTATTTTCTTTATTCATTGCTGACATAGTGGAATTTTTACCTGAATATAACATCACGCTGTATGCCGATAACTCATCTTTTCTTGTCTCCCACGAATGCAGTGAAATGAATGAACAAGCTTGTAACCATCTTCTTGGTAAACTAGGATTATGGTTTTCAGCTAATCAACTTCATTTCAATATAGAAAAAACTGAGTATCTAATATTTCACACCAGACAAAGAATAATAAACAATCCACTCTCAATCAAACTGAATGATTTAAATATTATCAGAAAATCAACAACAAAATTCTTGGGAATAACCCTGGAGAACGATCTCAGCTGGAATGAGCATATCACAGCAACTATAAATAAATTAAATACAAAAATATATCAAATTCGATGTATGCTGAATGTGGTTGATATCGGCAGTCTGAGAAATTTCTACTTTGCTGAAATCCAGTCTATTCTACTTTATGGCATTTTACTATGGGGAAACTCTCCGGCTGCACAGCATCTATTTCTTATTCAGAAAAAAGCAGTAAGAACTATTAAAAATGGAATTTCTGCAAGCCATTGTTTGCCGAATTGAGTATTCTTCCTCTGGCCTGTTTTTATATAATGGAAGTTGCCTGCTACATTCATAAAATAAAAAACTCTTCCCAGGCATTCGGATATGCATGTCTACCAAACCAGAAACAATCAGCTAATCTATCCAGTAATTAAAGGCAGCATTTTCTCATGTTTCTGGCACATCCCCACCATTACTTCAAAACTATTGTTGATAACAATGAATTCATGAAAAATGAGAATAAAAACTTCTTATGTTTCATATACAACATGGTATAAAAACATTTTTCATGACAATCTCCTACCTCATCAATTTATTAAACAGTGAATTCTTGAAGCCTTATATATTTGACAAGAAAATTGTTAAATGTAAAAAAAAATCTGTTTTTCCATCAACCAGATGTCACCTCCCTACGATCCACAACCCTTGAAAGTCAAAACCTATGTGAGCTAAAGATTAACGAGGACTGAACGTTCAACATGCAATTCCTAAGACGGGTTGGATGATAGGCCGTAAATGAGTGAACAAAGCACTCACGCCAAACCAACCGGCTATCGTCCCGGTACTAATCTCTTGAATATTTATTGAGTTTATATGTGTGACTATATGATTTTAATAAAGACGGTTGACTTTTTTCATGTCACCAACTTGCATTACCATTTTGCTTGAGTTTGTACGTTAATTGAAAGAATTCTTTCAAATAATTAAATAAATGGATAGATCGTATCCTACCTCTCTCTCTCCCTGTCTCTCGGACGACCCTCGAAGTCATCTTCAATCGTAATCTCATCGCGAATCTTCTCTTTACTACGTCGCCTTTTGTCTCTTCTTGGTGATCTAGATCTGCTCCTCCGCCTTCTATCTCTTGATCTAGATCGACGACGCTCAAAAGCGTCCCTCTCCCTAGGTCTGTCACGTTCTCGATCCCGATCTCGACCACCTACACCACTACCACCTCCCAACGCCAAGCCCCTCTCCTCCCTTTCACGTTCTAACCTATATCGTTCCCTCTCCCTTTCATTATCCTCACGACCCGAATGTTTTATATTCACATCTGGACCGCCTCTCCTTGTTCCACCTAGTCCTCCACCTGAGAAAATTAACCAAACATAAATTAAAAGAAAACATGAATGTTTATACTTTGTTTAGAGTTGGATGATCATAATACACATAGTTTTTCAACATTGTAACAAATAAGTGACTACTTAGCCAGATAAAGCAAAACCCCTCACAGCTGTATTTAGCTTATTGGCCTTCATCGAGTTATCAAACAAGTAAACATTTTCCAATACTTCACATGAATGACAAATATGCATTACTGCCATAATGAGAAAGCCTAAAAGGCAAAGTATTTTGTGCATTGAAATAAGTTACAAATTTCAAAAAAAATAGGAATATTACAAAAGCCCTATCAATCGATAAGTTTGCCTGTATTTTAGTAATTCATTTAAAAAAAAAAGGTCATCTCCAACGAAAAGATTCAGAGGCAAATTGAATGTTGCCATTGAATTTTTTTAAAAGGATTAGATATGACCAATTATACAGCAAACAATGTGGCTCCTTGTTGTTATAATCTATATGCACTTTCAACGGACATTACACAGCATTATTGCAGACACCCTTAGAGTGGCACGTGGCATAAATACAATGACTCACATGTGTCCCCAATTTCACCCAAATCGCTTGTACGTAAGGATTCATATGTCTTCTTTTATGAACAGGAGGGAAAGAAGCAGAATTTTTGAGGATTTTTTTATAGACTACATTCTGTTAATTGATTTGTATTTCATGATTCTTCTGCTTTGATTATTGTAAAAATAAATATGATAATATATCTTGTGAAAATATACAAGAATATTGAACATTGCTAGATGAAAAAACTTTGTTACTTAAACTCGTAAATTTTCTCAGACATACTTCTAGTTTTCATTCCATTGCTATTTACAAATACAAAAATTTTAAAAACTTCACCTCACGATTTGATCTCCACAAACTTTATTTGAAAAATATATCACAACATGTTTCGCTAGCACATTAGCTTTTTCAAGTAATTTATACTTCAAGTTGTTCTTACATTAATATTTATATACTTCAGGTAACCATAATTGACACTACCTCCAAAAAAATTACCTAAACCTCTACCTGAGGCACCTGTTCAATTATGATTACCTGAAGCATATTACCCCACATCTACATCAATAATAATTCTTTCTGGGTTTTTAAGAAAACAAGTTACATAATGATGATCTATTCAAATCTAGTTGGTCATTCATTAGAATGTTTGAATTTTCAAGTTTATTAATTTCCATTGCTTCCAAATGATTCAGTTTCAAACCTTTATTTTCTATGTGCAAAATTTCGAACTCTTCGTTAAAGATATGATTTTCTTCTAGAAAGTGATTTGAATATGTTGAATTTTTCTTATTTACACAGCTCGTATGATGTTCCTGGATTCGATTCCTAAATGTTCTGCCAGTTTGACCAATATATACCCTAGGGCACGTTCCACACTTTAATTTATATACTCCTGATTTCTTGAATTTGGATGTTTTGTCTTTATTATTTTTAACTAACTTTCCCAACGTATTACTTGTTCTATATGCAATTTTAATAGCTCATTTTCTCAAAAATTAAGCCACTTTTTCCGTTGGTTGTCCAACATACGTTAAAGCTCTATAATTTTGATTATCTACCTTATCAATAGGAAGAACGTCTCGAATTGCTTTTGCGAAGAATTTCTTGGCAAATTTTTTGTTTATTAATTCGGCTTTAAACCCATTGTTATCCGCAATTTGTTTTGTGATATTAAGTTGTTTATTGAAATTATCTATTGAAAGAGGAACATTGACTAATCTGTGAATTGTGCTATTATAAGCTGCTACTTTTTGTTGATAAGGATGGGTAGAATCGTAATGTATAGTAATATCCGTATAGGACGGTTTGTGATAAATTGAAAAATCATGTTTGTTGTTCCTTCTACTAATTGTTAAGTCCAAGAACTTGATTGAGTTGTCTGCTTCTATTTCAATAGTGAATTTAATGTTTTCATGAATTTTGTTAATATCCCTATGAAAAGTATCTAATTGCCTCTTGGTAGCTGTAAAACATACCAAAACGTCATCCCATATCTATGCAATACAAGAAATTATTAATCAAACGATGTTTAAAGATCGACTTCTCTAGATTATCCATGAAAATTTCTGCAAATAAGGGGCTTAATGGATTTTCCATAATTAAACCTTTTGAGGAGGAATAAAAATTGTTAAATTGAAAATAATTTTGTTTGAGACATAATGACAGAAGGTCAATTATTTCTCGTTTTATAATTGGGTTCACTCTATTTTTATTTAATAATTCTATTACTAAAGTAATAGTATCATCAAGAGGTATGTTGGAAAATATATTCTGCACATCAAAGGATAGTAATTTTGCCTTGTCTGGTAGAGGTATGTTATCTATTTTATTGATCAAGTCATATGAATTCCATAGCACTTTGAAATATGCGCTGCATCTTTTAAATTGACCAAATGTAAAACCATTGTTTTAAATTGTTACAGATCCCCGTGTGGATCTGTCAATATGTTTCTTGATAAGATAACAGAAGTTCTTGATTTTTTATACAAACCTAACATTAATATCATCCTTTGTGGGGATTTTAATTTTGACTTGTATCATAATATTAATTTTAAATTATTATGTACTCTCTTATCATCATACAATCTAATTCCAGTGGCCTACTCGAGTGGCAGATACCTCTTCTACTATACTTGACCAAATTTTCTTAAATTTTCGCAATAATGGCTCATGCGGTGTCTTCGATAATGAAATTTCTGATCATAGAACAGTATTCTTAGAGTTAGATGAATTCAATGAACATACCTCCTTTTCCCCAAAAACTGAATTCAAAAGAAGTTTCAGTGAATATAATATTAATAACTTTGAGAACTCATTGTTGTCTGAAAATTGGGAGTACATTTATAACATTTCAGAGATTAATGAAGCCTTCAATTCTTTTTTTGAGATAATAAAACATAACTTCTCCATACATTTTCCTGAAAAACATTTTTATTATAAAGTTGTTGAGAAAAAATGGGTTGATACCGAAGTAAAACATTCAAGTCAAGCTTTGAAAAATCTTTTTGTCTTGAAGGCCTCTTTTCCCTCTTTTGCACCTATTTATAGGAAAGCTAAAAGAACACATTACAGTTCAATAAAAGAAAAGAAGAAAAAATATTATCAAGGTCTTATATTCAATTCTCCAAACACAATGCGTGTCTCATGGAATGTTGTGTCTAATCTCACAAACAAAAACTGCAAAAGAAAGAATATTTCAAAGTTGATGATTCTATGGTAGAAGATCAACATACTGTAAGCATCTGAACTCAACAAATTTTTTATAGAGGCCCCCCTCAGTTTGGTCAATCAAATATCAGTTAATAAAGCTCCACATACAAATTTCAAGGAAAACTTTTTTAATGTGTTCACAATGTTCTTGAAACCATTTACTGAAACTGAACTATTATCCTTATTAGGGAATAAATTAAAAAATAAAATCCTCTGGAGCAGCTGATATTCCCATGTACATTTGGAAAAGAATTTTTCCAACCATAATAAAACCATTAACATATCTGAATAATCTGTCATTTGTAAAAGGTGTCTTTTCGCAAGAAATGAAAATCGGAAAAGTAACTCCCATTTTCAAGAAAAACGACCCGAACTTAATGGAAAATTATTGTCCAGTAACAGTACCATATGGACTATCAAAGATATTCGAATATGCATTTTTGTATCGACTTACTTCATTTTTGAATCTACACAAAATATTAACAAACACGCAGCATGGCTTTCGTGCAGAAAAATCAACTAATACTGCCATTTTTTCATTATATAATGAGGTAATTAGATATATTGAGGCAGGTGAATGCCCGGCAGCGATATTCTGTGATTTGAGTCGGGCATTCGACTGCGTCAATCATCAAAAACTTTTACTGAAATTGGAAAGATATGGACTAAGAGGTGCATCTCTCAACTGGATATCCTCATTCCTTGAAGGTAGGAGACAATATGTATCTCTCCAGCGTACGGTCAAAAATGAAATCCAGAGAATAAATTCTGAGCCTTTCAGTGTAGATATGGGAGTACATCAAGGGTCCATTCTGGGCCCAATCCTTTTTATTCTATATATAAACAATATAGACTCTGTTGTTTCTGAAGTTCATTATACAGCTTATGCCGACGACATTTCTATGATCATCTCGGCATCAGATGATGAAATATTGAAAGACAAATGTGCTTCTGCAGTTGAACATATATAAGAATTTTTCAATTATCATGATTTATTTTTTAATTCGGATAAAACAAATATTATTCGTTTTCATAATAGACAAAATAGGATGGAAGATTTCAGTTTCAGTGCTGATAATGTGACATACTCAAAATCGAATAAAAGTGTTAAATTCCTGGGTATTCTTCTTGATGAAAACTTGAAGTGGAATGCTCATTGCCAGCATCTAATTTCTAAGCTTAATTCAATGAAATTTCTATTTATGAATCTGCGGACAGTTTTAACTACCACTCAACTAATGAGCATTTATTATGCTCAAGTTGATTCAAGACTGAGGTATGGTGTCTGCATCTGGGGTGGGTCATCCATGACTCATAACGTATTCATTGCTCAAAAACGCATTATACGGTGTATTGCGAATGTCTCAAGGAGAGAATCTTGCAGACAAATTTTCAAAAATTATCACATCATAACACTCACATCTGTTTATATATTTGAAATATGCAGCTACATATTCAAAAACAAAACACATTTCAAAATAAATAAAAATGTTCATCACTATGATACTAGAACAAAAAATAGATTTCATGTGCCATATGCAAGACTAAGAATAACTTCATTTGCACCAGAATACATTGGAATAAAAATATTCGACAAACTGCCCGATCATTTAAGGGAAGAACATAATTATGTGATGTTTAAGAGAAATTCAAAGAGTTTTCTAATTGAACAATGTTTTTATTCATTGAATGAATTTTTTAGATAAGTACGGTATTATTTTAGTTTTAAGGTGTTGTTTCAACTTGTATGTTTCTTATACTCTGTTTTTATCTTTATTTTTATTTCTTTTATTAACTATTCCTATACAATGTATATTGTCTACACGGAAATAAAGTATTATTATTATAGACTGAATTTTGGTTGGAAGTTACAATGGTTCAAGATGATATTGATAAGCCTTTCTGATAATTTCACTGATGGTGCAGTGACACCGAATCGACTATGTCAACAAAACCCTTGATTTCTTGAATTTAGGAAAGTTTGAAATGCTGAAACTTGATCCAACTATTTCTTTCCAAAGACAAGCAAAAGATTTTTTGAAAAATTCAAACATACTTTTTACTGAAAGGGAAAAGTTCAAATTAACATTGATGAACCCCCAAAATGCCCAAATTATATTCACTAATAAAGCTGCACAAACAGAATTTGTCACTGCACCATCAGTGAAATTATCAGAAAGGCTAATCAATATCATCTTGAACCATTGTAACTTCCAACCAAAATTCAGTCTACGGAATTCATATGACTTGATCAATAAAATAGATAACATACCTCTACTACCAGACAAGGCAAAATTACTATCCTTTGATGTGAGGTTTCCCAACACACCTCCTGATGATACTATTACTTTAGTAATAGAATTATTAGATGAAAATAGAGTGAACCCAATTATAAAACGACCTTCTGTCATTATGTCTCAAACAAAATTATTTTCAATTTAACAATTTTTATTCCTCCTCAAAAGGTTTAATTATGGAAAATCCATTAAGCCCCTTATTTGCAGAAATTTTCATGGATAATCTAGAGAAGTCGATCTTTAAACATCCTTTGATTAATAATTTCTTGTATTGGCATAGATATGTGGATGACATTTTGGTATGTTTTACAGGTACTAAGAGGCAATTAGATACTTTTCATAGGGATATTGACAAAATTCATTAAAAGATTAAATTCGCTATTGAAATAGAAGCAGACAACTTAATAAATTTCTTGAACTTAACAATTATTAGAAGGAACAACAAACATCCTATACGTCCTATACAGATATTACTATACATTACGATTCTACCCATCCTTATCAACATAAAGTAGCAGCTTATAATAGCATGATTCACAGATTAGTCAATGTTCCTCTTTCAATAGATAATTTCAATAAACAACTTAATATCATCAAGCAACTTACTGTTAACAATGGGTTTAAAGCCGAATTAATAAACAAAATACTTGCAAAGCAAGCAAAAGCGATTCGAGACGTTCTTCCTATTGATAAGATAGATAATCAAAATTATAGAGCTTTAACGTATGTTGGACAACCAACGGAAAAAGTGGCTTAATTTTTGAGGAAATGAGATATTAAAATTGCATATAGAACAAGTAATACGTTGGGAAAGTTAGTTAAAAATAATAAAGACAAAACATCCAAATTCAAGAAATCAGGAGTATATAAATTAAAGTGTGGAACGTGCCCTCTGGTATATATTGGTCAAACTGGCAGAACATTTAGGAATCGAATCCAGGAACATCATACGAGCTATGTAAATAAGAAAACAAATTCAACATATTCAAATCATCTTCTGGAAATCATATCATTAACCGAAGAGTTCGACATTTTGCACATAGAAAATAAAGGTTTGAAACTGAATCATTTGGAAGCAATGGAAATTAATAAACTAAAAAAATTCAAACATTCTAATGAATGACCAACTAACTAGATTTGAATAGATCATCATTATGTAACTTGTTTTCTTAGAAACTGAGAAAGAATTATTATTGATGTAGATGTGAGGTAATATGCTTCAGGTGATCATAATTGAACAGGTACCTTAGGTGGAGGTTTAGGTAATTTTTCGGAGGTAGTCTCCATTATGGTTACCTGTAGTATATAAATATTAATGTAAGAACAACTTGAAGTATAACACTTGAAAAAGCTACTGTGCTAGCGAAACGTGATATATTTTTCAAATAAAGTTTGTGGAGATCAAATTGTGAGGTGTAGTTTTTGAAATTACTATGGATCTTCATCAAGTAACGGCCTAATCAATCGGAAAAAAAAATACAAAAATTGTTATCTCTAATGATATTTTTTCCATGGTTAGAGAATTCAGGAAAAAAAAATTCAAAGATAATTTTCTCTTCCTGAGTTTACATTCATACAAACTAATTATTCAGTCAGCATGAGAACAGCTCAGGTTTATCAAACAATTTGAATCTCAAGAAATATTTTTTTTATTAAACCAATACGAAAGAAATCAAAAATCATCATAGACAACTGAAGAACAATTTCATGAATGAGATTTGAAAAGAATACTAATTTAGAGTCTTTGAAAGTTTCCTAGTCAAATTACTAGCACTTTCGCAGGGAAATATTTCATTTTCTTGAAAGTTATGCAATCATAAAACTCTAGCGATAGAGAAATGTTTAAATGTTTCATTGTATGTTGATCATAAACTTGTCATGAAGACGTTTGCACTATCTGAAAATTGAGTCAGGAGCAAAAATTGATCCTTGTAAGTTCTGTTTTTGATTTTTCGCAATCGTTTAAGATTATAAACTAAAGCAATATAGAAAGTTGGTCCTTCTGGAACTAAATCCATATAACCTACAAATTATGATAATATATCTCTAACATTTGCAAAAAAAGTTTTGATAGCAATCAATGGAAAGTCAACCTTTACCCTAGACAGCTTCAGTGATTGAGTGATTATAGTGGACAACTAGCTTGCCCTATAGTTATAATTAGTGTTTTATATAGTTTCAATTGATTTTTACATCTCTTCAGTTTCTTGAATCCAAATCATGAGTCTAAAATTTTTCCCTCGTAAAATATAACCTAGTATTGCTTGTTCTTGCATCCTAGATTGGTTAGCTCTGAGATCAACATCAGGATCAGAGAGATATTTTAGTTATTATTTGACATATTTTTTAAAAATGGGTAACTTTTAGGTATTTCTTGCAAAATTTTCAATTGTTTGGTATCATTCATCATCACAGACATCTTCAAAAGAAGTTCAGTAAATATTCTCATTGACTTATGGCTTCTCAAATACTAACCATTCTGAAATGGTCATAAAAAAATGTTTTCAATTTAAAATCAAAATTATAAATTCTGTTCTCAAAAAAAAATTCAGCTGTCATATGTAAAAACTAAGATAAGATGAATTGAAGAGGTTATATTTTTAGGAGTGATTAATTTTTGGGAAAGAAAGTTTTTGGCTTTCTACTACTCCATCTTGATACAAAAAAAAGGGATGAGGGAATCTTCCAAAGAAAGGAAACTAAAAAAGAAGAATTAAAAATGAATAGCTGAAAATAACAATTATATTAAGCAAAAAAACCTGAAATGAAATAATAGTGAAATAAAATACAAGTAAAAATAGAACAATTGAACAAAAAATAAAAATAAAAAGTAAAGATATTCCAAGCCAAGTAACTTCACGATGTTTCGATTGTTAGTATCCACAATCGTCTTCGGGTGATGACATCAGGTGATGATTGTTATCAAATCTGCATTTGCTCGGCAAGAAATATAGACTCTTTCACAAAATATGGTTTTTAAAGAAACAGAACATGACTTTCACTTTTCACTTATGAATAATATGAATTAATTTATAAAGATAAAGGTTCTTCACATAAACAACTCACCCAATCTTCGTGGAAGCCATCCTTTCACTGTTCTTGCCCGTTCCACATCTACTAAAACCCGCCTGCCATCTATTTTCTTGCCATCAGCATGTTTGTAAGCAGCTGTAATATATTTATACATGACAGTGTATCAGCAATATTTATCGATAACTTTCCAAGAAGTTTGAAACCTTGTACTTGATATTCACTTATTTAACACAAACTTCAAATGTTGGGCAGACAACGTGGAAAGTTTATTTACACATATTGAATTCTTACCTAGGAAAAAAAAATAAGACAATTCACTGTACTTTCCATGAGTGAAAAGAATGTACGAGCTGGAAAAATTATTAAAGATGAATTAGGGAAGGTTTTGAAAAGTACAGTACAATTGTACTGCTCACGTTGCGGTTTGAAAATATAGGTATAAATCAAATATACCTACCCAGTTACTTACGTAAGAGAAAACAACATCTTAACGAAAAAGTTGTGAATTGAATAGATATTCGTCACGAACTGGTGTGTGGATCCATTATATCATTAGATTTACCTGGTGCGCAACTACTTACGGAGCGCTAACCCAATTAAAATTAAATTAAAAACTAAAACTGATCAAATCAGATACTAAATTTGAACTGCCTAAAGAACCGACTATGATTGAAATTTTGAAAAAAAAACGAGCTATAGTTTGTAATTATAATTTCAACCCCGCCAAACAATTTTAATTTATTTGTATGCAGGGTTCTTACCACACATACAAACCTATATAGCCAGCAAAAAGCGGAAGTTTGGGACAAATCGGCACAACTTAGTTGCCTGCAGCTCGACTGTGTAAAAAAATAGAAAAAATTAATTTTAGTTTGAAAATTTTAGAGTGTGCAAGTTGAGGAGTTGCTGGCTACATAAAACTAGGAATTCAATTCAATATACCACTTTGTAAAGTGAAATAAAAAAGTTCACATCTTCCACAATGTGTATGATTCAGTGATTGATATTTACAAATGATGACAATGGTTATAGAACTTTCACCAAGATCTTTATGATAAATACTTCAATATGTTGACAAAAGTCAGATAGAAATTCTGTTTCAGATATTATGGAGAATATTATGGAGACAAAAGAAAAACAGTTATACAGGAATTTTCTGTTCAACCCACTATTTAACAATATTCAACACCTCAAGACACTTTACAGTCAGTTTCTCCAATATTCAAGCCATTAAAAACCCACAATATCAAAAGAATTCACCAAATCAACTTGAGGACTTTAATTAGACAGTGTAAGATGCTGAATACGAAGCTGAAATTTTCCACAATCATTTTTTGAGGAGGAAAACAGTTTTTTATAAACCTATTGACTCAACTACAAACACTGAACAAAAATGGTAACATCCATCCAAACAAGAATCAACAGTCGTTGCGGAGACTTCGAGATATAACTGTTCCCCTCGCAGTCACAACCCCTTTAACATCTGTTGAGAAACTCCAGAAATGAAATGTATTGAAGGAAAAAACCAAGTTACATTGGATTTTTTTCACATTCTGAAGTGAGGCAAATTTTGATCTCCAAAATGTTGAGATATTAAGATCAGTACAGCAATTTCAGTGCCAAACTTTTATTATCTTCAACATCTCACCAACACGTCACCTCAGCTTCTTGCGTCAGTCATCTTCAGTGATGTGATCAAAGTACTCTTCTTGACATATCAAGTGATGTTTGGAGATTGTAAACAAAGAAGACCACAGCAAAACCCGTAAATCAACAAAATGTAGTATCCAACGAGAAATATTGAAGTGTGGATTATCACAGGGGTTTATACATTTTAATTAAGAAAAAAGATTTTTGAAGAATTTCAGAGGTTTTTTAAGTAAGACATGTTCATTTTTACGATATTCTATTGGTTTATGAAATCGAGGAATTCTAATATATGAAAAACTGTAATAAAAACATCAAACACTAACCACACACAGAATGTGAATTGCCAAAAAGTTGTAAATGACAAATATATTCATGAAACATTGACTGTCTGAAAGTGGTATAATTGAAAAACAAACCAACAGTGGAAATACTCACAATGCATGTCTCTTTCGTGTTCATATTCTATAAAAGCATACCCTCTTGGTTTCCCGTTGACACTGTTGTGAATCAGCACAATCTGAAAAAAAAATCTAAGTATAATACACAAATGTTTCAAACTAATCATCCTAAGGATGAAAAAATGTTCATGAGGTGAAATAGAAAAAGATCAACAAGAAATCAATTTCATTGGATGTTCATAAAAATTATCTTGCATTTAACCATGACACAATAGATAACACATCTAATGTGCTAATTGAAAATGCATTCACAAACAAAATTTCTATTTCTCATATGGGCTTTCAACTAAGTATAAAATTTCAAACAAAAATAAAAAACTTGGATAAAAAAAAACAGCCACAGCCAATTACTACAGGGTTTGAGTAATCATGACAGAAATGTAGATGATTTTCAAGTTATTGGTCTACTATAGATACTGTTTAAATCAAAATTTTGATTATGAACCAGAATTTTGTGACTTTCAAGAAAAAATCCCAATTTATTCCTCTCATACACTAAGCTGAATCTATATAAATTAGTGCAATCACCATGATTTCAAAAATGTTGAGCAAACTCTTTCATGGATATTAATTAAAGACAAAATACCTCAACTATTTGCTTATCAAAATTTCAAAAAAAAATGGATCTGTACATTTTGACAAACTAAAATTGGTTCAAGGCATATAACTCTTGAATATTTCCTAAATAAAATACTTGTATGGTTAAAAAAGTATAGAAAGTGTCACAATTGTGACGCCTGAAGATGCTATTATTTAGTGAAACAAATGACGTGGTTTTGTAAACTGTCAGGTGGAAATCTCACACTGAAGTGTTATAGAAGTGTTATATAATGGTATAGAAACCAAATAATCAAATACTATAAATTTGCAGCATTTCAATGTAAAAAAAATGTTCAAAATGTTAGCAGTTCTGTCAAAGCAAAAGTAAGAAGGTAATGCCTGTTTTTTAAAGTGAAACCATGTATAACAAGATTACATCAACCTTACCTTTTTAATCGGTCCATAAACTTCAAATTCTCTTCGTAGCTTCGACTCTGAGGAATCATAATTCTGAAAAAAAAAACATTTTCAGCACAACTGTTACAATAAATGAGAATATAATACTCACAATTCTAGCAATAAACAAAGTTTTAAATGGGTCGACTGTAATATTTGCTGCTGAGGCAGGGTCCCATATAGCGATTTCTTGTTCTAACTTATAAGCTACTTGTTCAGCTCTTTCTCGGCGCCTCCTCTCTAGTCTTTCTTCTCTAGTTTCGACTCTGGTTGGTGGAGGTGTGTCTTTTGGATCCTGAAATGAGTTTTCAAATAATCTGCTAATACACTTCTCACTCAGTACAAATATACAGGATTTTTTCAATAAATTGATGGACATAGCATTTACTATGTGGTAGGAAATCACCATGAAGAATGAGAATTGAAACTTTCTGTTTTTTACCGCTTTTATTTGTAACTAAGGTAACTGCAGTTTCGTCCTCTAAGGACATTTACAAACATATAATGTATAAATAAGTTTGAAACTTATAAAGTATAAGTTTGAAAATGTCCTCATAGGACAAAACTATTTATAGAGTGTTAAGCCCCATTGTAATATGTTGCTCATTAGAAGGAAAGTATCAATTATGCTCACCTCAAATTCACTTAGAAACTGCCCCAGTCCTAAATATCCCCTGTTCTTTTTTTCGTGTGGTAATTTCGCCACAGGAGGTAAATAAGGAATTGGGTCTCGTGGGGCAAATAACGCCAACAAATTTGGTGGTAAAAACTGTGTCATTTTTTCAAAGGATGTTTCACTTCACTGGGACGACTTGAATATGCGTGTGAACATAGTAAACCAACACACTTTCAATACCAGATTTATATTATGCTAAGTTCTGAACCGAACGACACCAAGCTATAACTGACCCTTTAATAAACTTCTGCTCATTAATATTTCTCTTGCATTTCTATAACCCGAACGTAACGATTGATGAACAAAATGGCTACCTCAATCGTTCCAAAGTCGGAAATTGCTTAGTATTCTGTGACAGATCATGTTTCTTCTTCTCCGTTAACTCTGATATGACTTTAGTTTTGTGTTGGCCTGAGACCCAATTCCTGATATCATTCACACATGGTTTTCCCTTGCAAATACTAGATACTATTCTGGAGTTCAAACGAAACAGATATTCTCATATGAAAAAAATTATATATCCGAATATTGATTATCTACGAATCAGATCACTGGAAATCTTATGGAATTTTAGGTTTCCATGATGAATGTGTTGAGGAAAGCTGTCAATGATTAAATATCTCTAACTATTGTTCTTCTTCATTCGTTGCCAGTTATTTCAAAAAAGATATTGCCTGGTAGAGATGATATCTGGTAGAGATGATATGTCTTACAGTATGTTTGTCAACTCACCAATAGTGTTGGAAAAACATCTAGTAACAATCTACAATAATAAATAGGACAGTACGTAACATTACTTTCAAATTTGCTTGAATACCTGGACATGATAAGTAGGTATTGTGGGAAACGAACAAGCGGATATGTCACCAACAATCGGTACTTTTCTAAATCCCATATCCAGTCCCACTGGATATGAAAATAGATAAAAATTATTCAATTCCTCACATGAAACAAAAAATACCGAATCAGTTTCATGTACAATGGAGACAAAATATACAAGTCAAACGGAAAGCATAGGTATATTGGGATCCATTCGGAATCACCAGTGGCACTGGAAAGTTCCTTCAATGGATAGAAGACATACTACAAGTCTCATACGCACGAAAACAGGTCACTGTATGATTAAAGCACATCTATTTGGCTTAAGGCTGAGCGATACACAAAATTGTGAATGAGGCAAACCAGAAACCCTAAAACATATTTTTCTCGAACGTCCGATTACTACTACTCCCGAAAAAATATGTATACTTAATCAATTTATACAGAAAGAAATACCAGATCTGAACATGTCTACAGTCCTGGGAAGATCAAATGTTAGCATAATAAAAATTGTGTGCAAATTCGTGGAATATAAAATATAACCATATTAAATTATAATAGTTTATCAAGATAGCTATGAAAAAATATTAAACATTCAAAGAAAAACCAAATTTTTAAATATCGGTGAATAGTAACAATCTCAAGTAGAGTTCAGTGAAGAAGTATCTTTACATCTTGATCTGAAATACTTACAATTCAAAATATTTTGGAATCGAAACAATTTTTGACTTTTGCATAAAAATGTCATCCTGAAAAACAGTCATAGTCTAGTGAAAGTTGTACCCGAGTAAAATGTCTAGACGCAAAAAAGAACTAGTAATTTAGACAATAGCTACGATAGTATACCATATCTGAATCGCAAATTTTGAGAATAAATTACCAGGAGAATGAAGAAGCACCAAATATAGAAAATGATTGTATCAAATGAAAAATTACACTATAAATCATGATTTAACCTCTAATAATTTAGTAGAAAAAAAAACAATTCGGGACAGTTTGAAGAAAAAAAGGTCCTAAAAAGTGCATTATCACATTCTCAGGTCTTGACCCAAAAAGATGTAAATAAAATTAACAGTTATTTTGATTCAATTATCATCAAAAAACGAAATAAAAATATCAGCAACAAAATTGATATTGGTAATCTCGAAATAATTATTGCATCAGTAAAACAAAAACTAAACAAGGAGGACTGAAAATATATTTCAAAGAAAAATATCATTTTGAAAAGCTGAAGGAAGAAATCAAAAATAAATTAAAAGATAGTCATATACTAGAAGTTGAAAAAAAATCAACCCAAGAATCAAAAGTGTAGGTCTATCTCTTGAAGATGCGGTTTCCCTTGTTGATTTGTTTTATTAGTTTTATGTTCTCTGGTGGGGGGAAATTATGTGGACATTTGAGAAAACTTGAACATCCATAAATTCAACAGTCATAAATCACTTATCGAGGAACAAGTACAAATCAAAACACAACAAGATGTCACATTCAATATATTAAACAAAACCATACACTTTCCTAGAGAAGATCTAACACGAAGAAGAATGATCCCAATTTTTTTTTTCGATACTAATATCATATAACCTTTGTATGTATTCTTTGTCCGATGAATACCTACCAGCAAGTGAAGATAGAAAGCAGATACTCAAGCCACAAGCTCCACTTACGCAACAAAGATTCAATTCACGTGGACTAAGTGTCTATCAACAACATAAAGACGTAGTTTACTTTGAGAAAGACACACTACGTTCTAGGACGAAGCGACTATTACATATCATCCGATTTGTAATACAAAAGGGGACTGGTCTACTGCGCCGTAAGGGAAGCAAAAATCAAAAGAAATTAAGAAGAGAAGAATATGGAGGTTATGTTTTTATCGACTTTTTTATTTTGGGTTTTAAATGGTTATGAAAGGATTGCCAAATAATGTCTGATTTATTAAAGAAATTGACTAAAGCAACTGAAGATCTCAACGAACAAGAAATAATCGATAACCTTAAAATTATATTATCGGAAAATACCAACATAGAGTTGAATAATGTAGATTTACTAAATGCTTTACTGAAAATTGATAAAAATGAAATTCTCAAACTGGCTTCTGAAGTAACTGCTGAATGGGCAAAAAGTGAGCAAAACCGAAAAGTTCTCACCAATGAAGAAGTGATCAGTAAACTGTTAACAAAATTAGAAAACACTGATGCAGATGTTGTTTTGCATGTAATAAGAGCCATTGGAAATATTTGTTATGAGAATGAGGAAGCCTGTAACATTATTGGCAAATTTGGTGTCGATAATTTTTTATCGATACTCAAGGCAGACTGTGAACAAACAAATAATGCCCTAACTACCAAAACTGCAGGTCTTTTTGTCAATCTATTCAACTTGAATGATGGAATAATAAGAACAGCTCTAAAAAACGAATTGATGCCAATTTTGGAACAGTTACTACACAAGTATTCTGAATCCCTTGAAGAAAATGAAATTCTCTTATCATTTCTCCTATCTGTTTTGACCAATGTTGAAAACTATTTGGACGAACAAGATATACCCTTCACAGAAAGCCTGTGCCAAGTTGTTATTGAAATATTCCAAAAAACTACAAATCCAGAAATGTCGGTTATGGCTATTGAAATTTTCCATGGCCAGTCTGAAAAGGGTGAGAATAATTTAATTATTTTAGTTTGCACGTTTCACTTTCCTCAATCCACTCATTTGAGTTAAATGACCCTTGAGAAATATTTTATAGTTCCTAGGTAATTTAAAAAAAAATTGCGCTTCTCTGAACTTTCATGCGATAACATCACAATAAGTAAATTCGTTTTGAAGTGACATTCTGTGTTGATCAGTGTGAAAGCAGCCACAAGTTATAGTCATGGATTTGTCGAAGTGACAGGTGAGACCCAACAATCACCGGTTCCCAAAATGAGGAACAAACTCATGGGCAGCCATGAATTTATGCAATGACCTGAAATTTACATGATTAAAAACAATTATTACAATGACTCTGTCATCCTGAAAATTGTAAGAATATCAAAAAGTCATTGGATTTTAGCGGGATAACCCCAACACCAAATATATAAATTTTGAAAGAAAATTGATAATTCATCAAATTCTTTTGTGGGTGGGGAAATTCATCTTCAAATGTTTTCATTTCAGTCAATATTAATAACTCATTCAAATATTTTCCACTCCGAATAAAATTTTTAATGTAAAATCAACAGCCACCCTGTACACAATAATTTTAAAAAAAATTACAATTTCTTCAATTTCAGTTAGTTATAATACTGAACAGTTACATTCTAGTTATTAAGTAAATTAAATGTAAAAAATGTAAAAAAAAGTAAATGAAATCTATCTGATGTTGAAACCCCAGAAAATGGCATTCCTGAAGGATCATCTCAGAACTCAAATTGAATGGCAAAATGTTAGTACCACTAGAATAAATGAAGAATTTAGGTGTAACATTTGATAAAAAACTGAAGTGGGACTCTCACATCAAAAATATTTGAAAAACCTGCCAACAAGGACTGAATTTCATGAAAATACTTGCCAATCGCTTGTGGGTAGCAGACTGTGCCCCTTTTTTGCATGTATACCGAGTCCTAATAAAATCTAGAATATATTATGGATCTATCGTTTATTCCACAACTAAAGCATCATCATTGAAGTCGCTGAATACCATAAAAAAAGAAAGACCTCATGGCTAGCTTGTTGGTCGAGGCAAGATAGCCTCCCTTTGAGATTCGCTGGAAATATCTTTTGCTTACATATGCAGCCAGATTATCAGCAAACAAAAATAATCCTACTTATAGAAATACATTTTCCAACTGTTTTACACAAATCTTTGAGCAGCGCCCACATATTCCACTCTCCTATTACGCCTGACTTTCCAGAATAGACGATAATCCATAAAACATTCCTAAAATGCTTGTTACAAATATAAAAATTTCCCCAACACGGACAATAGACCTACCACTATGTAACACCTATCTTTTGAAATATGCAAAAAAGCCAGTTCTACAATTTTTATACAACAAGCCTTTGCAGAACTTGTCTCACAGTACCAGAATTTCAACATTATATACAACGATGCCTCTAAATCCACCGAGGGTGTAGAAGCTGCAATGATAATAGGCTGTGCAAAGTTCAGCTATCGAATTCCAGCGGAATCCAGTGTTCATACAGGAGAACTATATGTTATGTACGAAGCAATTGAACATTGCAGCCTATTAGTGGGAAGTTTTGTCATCTTAACTGACTCTAAATGTGCAATTCATAGCCTTCAAAAACTCTGTCCTAAAAACTCATTTTTAATTCGTATAAAAGTTGGATTGGAAATTTCAAGCGAATGGACAAACATATAGAAATATTCTGGGTTCTTTCCCACACTGGTATCTTGGATAATGAAATGCTGAATCTCTAGCTTACGATAGTTGTTCAAATCATCTGGCTCAACAAATTTCCCATGGAGACTTTCACAATACCATAATACAGCTTACAATCAATAACTGGAGAGCAAAATGACAATCTTTTGACGCAAACGAACTGAGAGAGATTAACCCACACACGGATATCCAAAACAGGGAAATTCCGCGTAAACACCAAGTTGTTCTTACCCGCCTAAGAATTGGTCAAGCCAGATGTTGTCATCAGCATCTCATGAAAAAGGAGAACCAACTCTAATGCTGTTTCTGTGATGAAATCGTTAGAGTTAAACACGTCATTGTTGACTGCTCTGTATATCAACTGAAAAGGAGTTCTTCGAACCTCAGTAGTGCCTCAAATGTGATGAACATTCATTCTTCATTTAATTTTTTGGGAACTATATCATTTCTGAATGATATATGATTTTACAATAAGTTTAAATAATGTATCAGAGACCTATTCAATGAAGAAATAGCTCTTCTGGTTCTGGAGATATACAGGAAAAACCAAAAAATTCCAAATAATTTTTTTGCCTATATCTTCTTTATTCGCAGACATATTGAAAAT